TGTTGCTGCTGCTGCAAGGAGCAACATCCTTCGGAAGTGGCAAGCAAATGTGTCTGTCTGTCTGTGAAATGTTGTTGCTGTGCATTATGTTGCATTTGCAATGCAAATACTTTTGTGCTTTTTGTTGATGTCGCAACGACAACACCGACGACGATGAGGCTTATGTTGCTGCCGCTCCTGCTTCTGCCCCTTTATGCTGCTGAGCCTTTTATTTCTTTATTGTGGCTGCCACATTGTGCGTCGTGTGTGTGTGTGCCTGTGCATTTGCATTTGCTTTTTGCTGTTTATATTTCTAATAAAAATGTCTACGTTATTTTATGCTTCGATGCACTGCACTAGGCACATGAGTATTGGAGATCACAAATGCCAGAGATGACAGTCTATAGAGTTGATAGATTCAGTTTATGAAACCCTTTTATGCCAATGGATATTTTATGATATTTCTGGTATCACTCCTCCGTCGCTCCTTCTTTCATCCCTAGGAGCCTTTAATTCTCTCGTAATTCTTCTGCTTTTCCCTCTAGTATCTAACGACTCACGCTGCCATCGCTATGAATCCGGCAAACCAGAACATTGTTGATGAAGTGAAACCCTCTGCCTGTAGGCAAAGGAGAGAGCTCGCTCGCTCTGCTTTTATAGAGCAAAGCGAATGGCTGATAAACACACAAACAAATATAGGCGACAGCAGCAGCAGCAGCAGCAGCAACAACAATGGCAAGCGGAAAATGGTTGGCGTTGTTCTCGTTCTGGCTTCCATGTTGTTCCCGCTGCATTCCATTAACATTACAAATGTATTCATTGTTCGCGAACTGCAGCAACGCCAACAGGCAACAGGCGGCATGCGGCAGGCGGCAGGCGGCAGGCGGCAGCAACAACAGCAATGACGCCATTATGCGAAAATGTGACAAGTGATAGAAAGGATAATGCCAGCAGCTAGCTAGTGCAACTCCCTTCCGAACCCCTTCCACGCTCGCACACGCAGAATGCACAACTTTTTTTTTACTTTGTTGTAGTTTTTTTTTATGGTTTTTGTGTGTGTTTCCTTCTTTATGCGCAAGTGGCTTTATTATTTGTTTTCTTTTTCCCCCTTCTCTCTCGCACGCTAATGCAGCTTATTTGTGTGTGTGTGTGTGTGTGTGTGTAAGGGTGAGTGTGTGGGGACTACTGGGAAATACACTTACTTCTGATGCCCGATGAAGACTTAATACTCTTCGGAATAAAATCAGAAGACAAATGTTTTCCTCCTTGCAGCTTAAAGTGGAAAATAAAAAGCATAAAATGCAACTGAAAACAGAACGACTTTTGTTCGATTATTTAAAACAGTTTTCTAGCGGATGGAAACAGCAAATACGGATAGGAATGGGGAGCTTAGAGATTTCTGAAAGGGATGACTGCCTTAGAGGAGCTTTCACTGCACTGCTTAGTGAATGGACCCTGCCTGGACTCTAACAATAACAGCAACAGCAACAGCGTTGTGAAAAGATGACAAAATCACAGAATGCCAAATTGTTTTCCTATTATTGTTGGCATTGTTGTCGCCAGTGTTGCTGAGCTTATCGTTATTTAAATTAGCATTACAATGCACTCACACACGCACTCAGAGAAAGGGGCTACCATATTGTTGCTTTTGGGAATTGTTCAATGTGGAAACCCACTCCAACTCCCACTGTGTGCCACATTCTTTGCCTTTTCTTTGGGATTCTGTGGCAGAATTTAATAAATTTTTAATTAAATTCGAATTGCTTTGGCCAACGGATTGACAAGCAAAAGGGTCATGTAAAACTGAAATCAAATGGCTTTCAATGGATTTGCACATGTCGTCTGCGTGATTTTTGTCTGCCTCTTATTACAATTGGAGCCACTTTTTTGTTGGCAATTGTTTGGTAGCCAGTTTAAAGTTTAAATAGGAACTTAAATAGGATTTTCACACACAATTTTAATACATAAATCATTTGGGCAATGAAACTCGCATCGACATGTCCCTACACATCTTTCGCTTCTGTTTCGAGCTCAGAGGAGGCCAATTTATTTGCCCGTTCGTGTGACAAATTTTACTACACCTGCTACAAGCACCGAGCACACATCAAAGCTCGTAGCAGGATGAGTAAGAGCCTCCACTCGAAGCGTTTGCATAAGAAAAGCCCCCCGAAGAGAGCGGCAAATTTCACACAACAATGCCATACGGAATTGCACAGAAAAATGCCAATCCATCCTGTGTATCCACGTATATATTTTCGTAAGTATTTACACATGGAGTGCGGAAGAGTTCTGCACGAGTGTTTGTCAGTATTCCGTGTATCGAAAGTGTCTAAGCAACAATTTGGCATTATACTTCGCTCCGCTGGCATGGAGAAAAATCCATACATTATTCATGTTAGAGCCACACCCCCTCTTGCTGCTGCTCAGACAGGTGTGCAAAATAACTGACAAATATTTCACAGATGTCACCTTTTCACAGCCGTTTGTTTGGTCCCACAAATCGCGTTGTGCCTCCTCCAATAATTGCCCAATGAGTTGGTATTTCCTGTACAGAATTTGGTACATTCGTAATGCCCCTATCGGCAGGCACGCTGGCTAGATTAATGTCAGGGGAGCATTTGATTTGGATTTGGTTTTGGGGTTTTTGTGGCATCAGCTTGGCCTTGGAATAATCGTTTTCGAAAGTGAACGCCTAGCAAGCAACATTCTCACTCACTCTCTACACTTTGTGTAATCTCACAGGCAATGAAAATTGTTGAATTAAACTCACATCTATAGATAGTAAATTTTGTAAAGCCAATGCATAATGTCGAATGCCAGCGACAATCCCAACCACAACGACGAGCCACCAGCCGCCAAGAGGCCGCGATTATCCGATGTTGAAAACACAAATGAAGATGAACCAAATGGGACTCTGAGTACCATGGAAAGCAGTGGGGTTGAGGCAAGAGGTGGCCAAGGTGGCGCCTCTGATCTTCACAAGCGGCTGCATAATCTACTGCTCTGCGTTGTGTGCCGGGAGGTGCCGCATCCGGAGGAGAGCTATCAGTGCAAACATGGTCACATTATGTGCGAGGACTGCACGAACCACATACTGGCTGATGCCAGGATCACGGACAAGGATGCCCATTGCCCCTCCTGTCGGATTTGCATTACCTGCCACAATCTGGAGCAGAATCTTGTGGTGCGCCAGGCCCTCTGGGAGCTGCCCATCGAATGCGCGAGCTGCGCTGTCGAGCTGTCGGTAGCGAAAGAGCTCCCAAAACACTTGAAGTTCGACTGTGAGCTGCGTGTGGTGCGTTGCAAGTACCAATGCCTGGGCTGCTCCTGGGAGGGCACTCTCAAGGACAGAGAGTTGTCGCATAACGCCGCCTGTGGGTTTCCCCAGAGGAATGGCAGCGACATCCTGAAGTTTCTGCAGCTCGCCAATGCCAAGGGGCGTTTTTCCAGTGTGCCTCTGATGAAACTCCACCGGGAGCTGAGTGCCAGTCGCATCAACTTTAGAAACGTGAAAATGAGTAGGATACCCAACAGGGACTCGGACTTTTTGAGAGAGTTCGTGCTTCTCGAATCTGAGGTGAATTTTTCGGAAGAATCATAACCAGTCGCAAAGTCAACTGTTGACCCTCTCTGAACCCACAGACGATCACCGCCTTTGAGGAGCAGTGGGTGCTGCGCCTGCATCTGACGACAGCTGGTGAGAGACGCACTCTCAGCTGCCAGTTGCTGCTGTTGAGTACCCCGCGAGGGGCTCTGATGGTCGACTACATGATCCGGATGCCGCAGGGTGTGGGCAGTGTCAAGCAGCAGCACGACATACGCTTGCAGCTTTATAGCCATATCTTTGATGCGAAGAACAAGGGCGAAGGGCGTCGAAAGCTGCCCCTGGAGGGACCGCAATCCCTGTACCGGCTGTTTGCCATGAACGAGATCCAGCTCCGTTTGTGGATGTTTTTGCATTATTAATCGCCTTTAAATTGTAGTATAAACCTTTATTGGGCACAACATATTTTGTCATGATTTTCTTTTCTCGTTGACTGGATGGTTTGGGCACCTTCTTAGGGGCTGGGCGACTTCTGGATCTGCTCGTTCAGGGAGTTGGAGAATTTCTGGAAGGCAGCGAGACCCTCGGCAGCGGCAGCCTTGGCCTTTTCCTGGAAGTCCTGCAAAAGCGCAAAAGCGGGTGCATTAGGCACACAGTTTTGGGTACAGCTCATGGTCAAGGCCTTACCTTAACGCTGTCCTCATTGAACAGATCCTTGGCCTTGGCCAGCAGATCGCTGATCTGAGCCTCAAACTCCGACTTGGCGGGCTCCTCACGAGGCACGCGAGCGCACATGCACACCTAAAAAGCACCAGAAACCATCAGCCATAGTCACAGTCACAGTTCCTATCACAACTTACGGCGACAAGGGCGAACAGGAAGAAAATCAAAGCAATCTTGGCCATTTTTAGTTTTTGTTTTTTACTGCTTCAAAGCTGATCTTCACGGAGGAACGTTGACTTGAGTACTGATCGAGCTAGACCAAACTGCTCACAACTACACCTCGTTTTGCGTCGCAGCTGAAACCGAGCTGAAACCGAGCTGAAGCCGAGACGGGAGTCCGGCTTATCGCTGGCACTATCAAGGTCAAGCGCTTAGAAGCGCACCATCACCGATAAGGCACTAGAGTGAAGTGAAGTGCTCAAAATTCTAGACGATTTGTTCGTATTTGTTGTACCACCCAGAGGGAAAGGCAACGCAAATAAAAATAGATGGAAAATACAAAACGAAAATGGGAGTGAAAGAAAGTGTTTGTCACTTATATTTTGACAGCAATATTAAAGCATTTAAAATATATAGGGATAATTAATTTGTATATTGTATATTTTTCACATTTTTATTGACTTTAATTCATAATAAGCATTCCGTAAATGTAATATTTATTTTTATTGTTTGTATTATAATTGTAATATATTTTATTTTATGTATTTATTAAATGTAAATTGATTAAAATTTATGTTTTAATTTAAGTATTTTGAAGTGTTTTATGTATTAAATAAACCGCAAATTCAAAAGTATTTTCCATTCATTTCTGTTTAATTTAAAGTGATTTTTATATGGTTTAACTGGGATTGTGTTTAATCACATTTAACATAAATATACGAGTCAGTATGTGTGTGCATAATTTATTTTATGTATTTTAAAGTGTTGTATGTTTACATTTAGGCATACAATTATGTAGGATTGTATTTAATTGAGTTGTGGTTGAGTTTTATGTTTTTTTTCTACTGTGCTTTAGCATATTTTAATAACCATGAAGTCTACTAGTATAGATTAAATGACTTGAAATTAGTAAATATTATGCGATGTTCTTAAGTAATTAATGTAATTTGCAAAAGACAAGCCTTATTTTGTTGAACCCCACTGTGCGGGTATGGAACGCCTTCTAATGCAGCACCCGGAAACATTTCAAGAGCTTATCTGCCAAAAATTCTTTCGAAATTTGGTTTGTTTGCCCGTTCATTAAATTAAGAAAAATAAGTACACATTAAAAGTGTTTTGGATATGAACTTGGGAGGCTCTGGCGCTCCAGTCCCTGTGGTACTTAATTGTCCATGGGGAGAAAATATAAACATTTCGCCAATCTGAGTTATTTTTGCTACAAATATGAGCAAACAATTTCTGTCGCTTTGTTTCCAATTCACTTAAAAATGAATTCTTTCTCAGATAAGACAGATTACATCAGCGCACACAGCACGTGGCGGAGGGTCTCATGCTGTTGCTGATACTGAGGTTTTGTTCGACATGCCCCCGATAAGGTGTTCCATATTTCAGCATTTCAATGTATGTATATAGAAGATTAGAAACAACATATTCCATTATGCCATCATACGATGGATGTGACAGCTCAATTATTTACACTGCGGTGCGCTGTTGAAAAAGTCATCAAAACTGAACTTTGCAGCCAAAAGGTGTCCGGATTACTATCCATACTTAAGTCACACACTTGTTTGAGTACACTTTTCATTCACTCAGACTTGAGCTACTTGGGTTCATCGCTCGGGGTCGCATCTATAAAGTTTTTTAATAATTAATTTCCAGCATGATTTGCGGTTCTGATTTGAGAATTGACTCACTGAGCGAATGAAAAGTACAGTTTGTTAGTTTCTACAGATAAGCGAGAGCTCTATAAGCTAGATGCTAGATTACGCAATGATTCCAAACTGCCATTCCAGTACTGAAACATTTGCGATTTGTTTGGTTCTTCGTTGAATAAAATTAGACTTCTACACGCAATGATGGCAAAGCGCCTAGAAATTTGATATATTTAACCCTGAGTGACTCCTCCACTTGGCAACGTGGCAGCTGCTCCACTCCCGTCTGGGAGTGGCCTTGCCACTTTGACTGTTCGTTTCAAGAGCCAATCCATTAAGACAATTTCTTGTTGAGTTTTGTAGCTCATCTTTCCAAGTGGCCGACCAAGGGAGATGAGTCTCCAACAGAGGCAGACACAAACCAAACCCAATTAAGTGCCAGCGACCAGACCCCAAGTCTGAGAACAAGTTCGAGCCAAGAGCAAACCACTAATAAATTTTCATTTGGCGTAATGAAAACATTTAATTGCAGTTCGGGGAAACTTTCTGCCAGCAGCAGGGTTCATAGTTTTCTGAACTACTGTGGCACCCTCTTCTATGGTGGGACCGAGCTGAGTATGTGCTCCGGTACGGGCGGGTGGCAGTGGGGCAGGGGTGGGCCCAAGGTCGGATAGGTGCGCAGGCGCAGCAGCTCCAATATCGTTTGCAGTTCCAGCACATGGGCATAGTGACGGCGAACATTATCCATGAGCTGTCGATGGGCTTTAATCTGTGACATTCTGCGGAAAGTGAGAGAGAGGAAGAGTCTTATCAGTATGTGGGGGCAGAGGTTTGATCGCTCTCTCACCGTTCACGCTGCTCACGATCTCGCTTCTCCTCCATCATGGTGTCGCGCAGGGTGTTCTGGAATGTGACGTCCACCTTGATCCGTTCGATTTTGAAATCGATAGCATGGCTTTTGCGCTTAATCTCCAGCGTATTGGCCTTTACAATATCGATTTTGAGATTGCTAGAAGGGAGGCGGCACGGATTAGAGGTCGATGTCTAGGAGAGCTCCGCCTAGGGCAACTTACATGCGTTCGATGTGCCTCTTGAAGGCCGCTATCTTTTGCTCAACAACTCGCTCTATGGCACCGGCGACCATGTACTTCTGTCGCTCGGCTTTTACCTTCTCCCAGTTGCGCAGGATGTTGAGAAACTCCATGGACACTTTGCACTTTTCGATGGCATCGAGCATGTACTTGAGATAGGCAATGTTTGCCTTCTGCAGCTTGTGCTCCCACTCCTTGAAGATCACCTGGCGCCGAAAGATGGCCACACGCTGCATGGCCTTGATCTTTTTGTTTCCAGCATCCTGTGGAAAGGGGAGGACTTAGGGGAATCCATTTGATGGCATGTCTCTCACCTGTATCAAACGATTCACTTCATTGATGTCCTCCACATGCATCAGCACAGTGTTGCTCAAGGACTCGGCATTACCCATCACCGACACCTCCACTTGCCCCAGCGTGAGTGTCAGTTGCAGCGTCATGTTCCGCATTACTTCCAGCTGAAAATCGAACGTTTAACCATCATAGTGTGACCACTAACTGAAGACCCAACTCACATATCGCTGAACGCTCTCCTCGGAGCTCTTTTGGGTTACATTCTTGGAGTCCTTGAGGGCTGTCAAATCCTTGGCTATGCTCGCCAGGTAACCCTGACCATCCGCCAGTTGGTAGCCGACCGCCTTGAGGCGCACTTCGCTTTCCATCTTCTGGCGGCGCAGCTTGATGAACGACTCCCAGCTCTTGGCATCCACCTGGGGCGGACAGTTCTTGGGCGCATCGATCTCTCCGATGTAGGCCAGGAACTCTTGGATCTCCTTGGGCAGGGGGAAGGCAGTGCGTTGGCTCTGCTTGCCACTGAGCTTGTGCGAAGTCTCCATGCAAATGAGCACCGAATTGAAGACCTTGGCCGGCAGCTTGGGGCGCTTCTTGAAGAGCTTTGTCATCTCGTGCTGGGCATGCGGCACAGTGTTGAGGAATGTGCTGCGGAAATATCGCTCGATGGCGCGATCCCTGGTCTGCTGGGCCTCCAGTCGGCTCTTGGCATCGGCCAGACCACGCTCCCAGAACTCTAGCAGCGCTCCGTAGCGCCTGATGTAGTCGTTGAGTTTGTCGAAATCCTTGCGGAACATGGCGATGCGCTTGCGGATGTGGACGCGGGTAAAGTTGATTGTTTCGACGGTGAGGAGGCGCAGGCGGCTCTGCTTGAGGGCAAAGTCATATTTGAGCTTGAGTATCATCAGCTCGGCCACTCGCTGGTTGAGCTTCAGGATTTGCTTGCTCTTCAGATCTAGGGTTTTGGCCTCGTTCTCCGTGAGGATGCGCAGATACTTGCGGCGATCCTCCTCCAGTTGGCGCACTGCCTCCTCGTAGACGCGAAAGATCTTCTGATCCTCGAGACTGTACTCGTGCGGCTGCTTCTTCAGCATGAACTCGGGTATGGGTATGTCCTTCTTGATCTCCTCCTCCCACAACTTCTCCAGCACCCCGTCCATCATGACGATTAGCGCCCGAGACCAGAACTCCACCGACCAGAGCAGCAGTCGCCCCTTCTTGCCGCCCGTATCGATGGTCTTGCGACGTCGTCGATTGATGGCCTTGATCTCCGAGTCGTCCACCTCCATGATCCGTTTGATCACCTCATCCTTGGCCAGCGCGGGCACCGTGAGATCGGGCGGCTCGAACTGATCCATGTGGAGGAGGCGCAGCATTATGTTCATGTTGTCGTAGATCTTGTAGAGCACCTTGTTGGTGCTCAGGACACTGTCGATGGTGTCCTGCTTGAGCTGCTGGGCCTCGTGGAAGAGCTTGTTGAACTCCTGCTTCAGAGGATCGTTCAGGTAGTACCGAAACTTGCAAGTCTCATTGTACAGCTGATTTGA